GATGAAGACAAAGATGAGTGAGTAATAGAGAGGTTTCGCGTGCATTTCGGATTGTGAGGGCGATTGTTACTTCCCGGCTGCCCACACCGTGGAAGTTGGTTGCGTGACCGCAGAGCCCAGGGGACAACTGCTTGAGGCCGGTCACACGCGGCCTGTTTTTGTTTGTTCTCTTTTGTTTGGTGTGTCTCAGTAGCATATTTATCACTCCTGCCCTGTGACACGGCAGCAGGAAGCGCGGTCGTTGTTAATCCGGGCCACGGCCGATCCGGCATGAAATTTTGTGATTTTGTATTGGACATGATGTTGGATTGGGTAGCTGCTTTTTGTTTAACCGCTATCCAAACAACCTGCCTGGCATGGTAGTACCTCAAGAGACATAAGTCTCAGCCAGTATAGCTTGAATAGATCATTGCGGTGTTCAAGCCCGACCACCGTCAAGGTAGCAGCTTTCGGTCGGGGGTCATGAAATATTCTAAGTGTTAGATCTCGGTAATTATTGTCTATGTTTCAAAATATTTAGAGGGGTCTATACCCTATCCAGTTCTAAGAGGCTTTTTTTATTCTGATCGCCACCAGTCTACTCAGGATTAAGAACCTGAGAATCTCAGATACTGTTTCAGTTAAACTGATATCCCTGTGACCGTCACATAATGGTTGGTCTTCTTTCTTACAAACTGGACAACCAAATGTCTACAACATCTCAAAGGCACTACATCATATTCCCACTACATTATCTAATGCATTAGTTAACTTAATTAATAATTTGTCATCATCCTAATAGATCCTAGTTAGCTAGTAACTAGTCTAATGTGTCTAGTCGTTTGTTTCTTTAAAGCCTAATTCTATCAGTTAAGTTTAATTAGTGTAACCTAGCACGAAACTTAGGTCGAGCAAGGCTTCCTGTCCTGCCGATTGCCTCCAACCATCTAGTCTATCAACAATTAACACTGCAGTGCATCGTGACGGCCAACCACCTTGTGGCATGGTGACCGCATTGCGAATCTCACTGATGATGGAATTCAGCCTGCAGCAAAAAACAAGGGACGAGACATATCGCATTAGTTACTTGATAGTGTCGAATTAAAAAGTATCCAGTACAGTCCTACACGAGGTTAATCGCTAGGCCGAATAGCTAGCTCAGTGCTAGTAACGTCTCTAACTGTAGCACTCGATAGGTGGATAACATGCGGATTCGGATCTCAGAAGCAACATGTGATTCATTAATTTAAGTGTAGAATTTCAGCACTGTGGTAGAAGGCAATCCATATCAAGGTAGTCATGCGGCTTAAGAATTTGTCTTATGTACATATTTTCTCTTTCCCTCCATCTTCTCCTTGTTATTTGTTCCTGGATATCTCTGGTATATAAGCGTTGCATCATTTCAATTCGTTGAGAGTGTGCGGTGTTGAATTGATAAACAAAGATTCAGTGATTAACCTCAATGTCACTGTCTCCGCCTAATTATCTTACTTCTCAATATTTTCATCATAACCCACCCAACCTATTTTATGATTATATGCGTTAGAATGCATTGCAACGGAGGAACTTTCCTCAAGATTATTTGACACTTAACTGGCTTAATCATTAAAGATCCAGTTACATTTCTATGTTCCGATAGTCTAGCTGACAGAAATCTACCAGTTTGACTGACCTGCGTAGTTCACCTCACAGTAAATACATGGTAAGCCACAAACTACAATATTCGTCTTATATGGATCAGTCGGGTATGTCTCCAGGTTGAAAACGTTTATCTCTGAGAGAGTTGCTTGTTTGGTTGATCGGTTTCAATGACCACAATCCTAATGGCATCGTCATTTAGAATTGTACGTTAGTCTTCTGATGTCCCGTCCTTCTTTATACGCTAGGATTACAAAGGCTTTGATTTCTAAATTATTTTCTTCGTTATTTTTGTCATTTTCATTACCAATACCAACCCGTTCGTTTGTTTATATAGTTTATTATGAAATTTGAATAGAGTGGAGGTTATACATAGCTGAACACTTAATATTTCTATATCATCTGCGAGGTCAGTCCTACTTAAGATTCCAGAGTGAATGTTCAGTTCACTCTTAACCGCCTCCAGAGTTATATCTTAATTCGGGTAATACTGTACAAACCGGTTATGTCAAAGCTAGTCATTTTTGCACCTTTTTCTAGTTGAATTTCCTCTAGCTTCTGTTTATTAAGTAGAAGTTGACCTATTTTTATAGGGCGTACATAACATTGTTCCGAAAGTCAGCTTTCGGTCTAATAGTGTGGTGGTGTGATACAGACAATGTGTGCCAACGGAATATTGTTCTCACATATTCCGACAGTTCAGTACTGCATTAGCAACAGAATACAATATATCTATTTGAATATTTTCATGTGGTTTAATGTAATTGAAAATCATATGCTCAGTGATTGGTGAAAGAAAACAAACTGCGCATATATAAATAGTGCTTTGATCAGTTGAAAATTTACCCTTGCTTCCGCATCTCTCCTTCTGCTGTTACAGTAGGGTACCCTGCTTTGTTAATTTCGATAGCGCCATACATTTGACTATTATATAATTATGAGCAATAATGTATGAGCAAGTGCGTCGGTGGCACAGAGGTTAGTACGCTCGCCGACCATACACATGGTCCGGGGTTCGATCCTCGGCCGACGCAATCCTTTACCTTGGCTAAGCCAGTAATTAAAAAAACTGGCAAAGAGGAAAGGTTGGGCATGAGGCTAGCAACCCCATCCTGTAAAAACAAACACTGCTACAGAAACTTCAAGCCTCTAGCTTGAAACCCTATGTTCCACTGGGAACGTGAAGAGATAAAAAAAATGTATGCACAAAACATCACCTAGTTGTGAATACTACATCACTGAGTGATATAGCTTCCTTTGGGATTGCAGACAGGCTATACTGACGAGTGCCAACAAGCTTGAAGCCTAGATTGATTGCGTCCGACCATCTAATATTAACAATCCACAGGGCACTGTGATGGTGGGCCCTCCAGCATGGTGGCCACATTACAAACTTGACTGACTGACAGAATTCAGTCTGCACCAAAGATGGGGCTAGACACGATAACACCAGTTATTTAATACTTAGTGCCCAATCAAAACTATATGTCTTTGATCTTTGCATTCATCTCTATAACAGTTGAATATTCCCACTATATTACATTTGCAAAACTCTTTTTCATCAAATATTTTCGATTGTAATGCCAGCCAGTGTGTTCATTTTATTCTTGCATGTTATTGTGGAGAGTAGGAAAAGTGATGTGGTGGACACCTGCGACAGATTTCGCCCTTTCTAATTTCAATTTGTTCTTCCGCCTAAATGAGGTATTGAGCAGCTCATCTTGACGATAAATATCATTATGCAGTCACCAACGTCTTGACGACACACAGCTAATCAGTGATTTGAGACCTGCGTATCTGGTTCAAACTTACAGTGCTACTGATAAGATTTATCAGTAGCATACAAAAAGAGACGCCAATCGGGACAAAAATATCAAATAACAGAGATATATATTTCACGTCAAAGAGAGAGGAAATGCACCAGTCAGTGTATTGTGACAACAAAAACGTGGGAGACACGAATAGACGACATACTACTTCTTGTCCATTTACTAGCAACTTAGAATACATGACCCCGCTCCCGATAACCGGCACTACTTTTAGTCACATAGGAGAGAAAGAACACGTGTTATTCTGTCTGAATTTTTTCCTTCTCCACATTTCTGTGCAGTACGTCCTCCAATGTTCTGATTTGCCATAGCCAAAGCATTGGTCTTTCCTGGTACTCATTCGTAGCGCCGCTACTTTCCACTGCATATCCTCAACTGTATGCTCCCATTCATTCAGTTTCAGAGTTTCTGCTACGGCTACCGATTTGCTCAAAAGCTGCCTGGTCACCTTGGCTAGCTCACAAGTTTTTATATGTTGTACAGCTTTTACCGGTCTTAGTTATTGAGAAATGTGGTCTGGGACACTCGATGAACTTGGACGTCAATAACAGCGATTCTGACTGGGGAGTGCGCGGCGACGAAGTAGGTTCGTCAGATTCACCGCCAGCGCACTAATGGGTCTGCGTCAGGTCCCAGCTTCGTGACATGGAACTACTGCATTGCCAGCTGTTTTTCTGTCGGGCTGTTGAACTCCACCACCAATCGCTCAACTGATACCTTTAAGGTCTCTTTATGACCTAACTGCCCCACACTTTCGTGCGCCGCCTCTGCCCGACCTCTCAGCAGTGTCCTCAGCAGTACTACTTTTGCCGTCGGATCCCTGACCAACCCGGTGAATGCGCCAGAGTCCTTCAAGGAGTTTATGATGTCTCCTTCGACGGTAGCCTGCCATGGAATCTTCATTTTCTGGAGACAGCGATACTAAATGCAACGATAGAAGACAATGTTTATTTGAAATTGTGATTTACGGAAATTATTTACACCTTTCATGAAAAATTCATCATTTGCACAGGTCTTCCGTGTTGTGATTCTTCTTCCCTTCACCTATTGTCTTTCTTCATCGTCTATTCGTGTCTCCCACGTTTTTGTTGCCACAATACACTAGTTGGTTCACTTCGTCTCTCTTTGACGTGAAATATATATCTCTGTTATTTGATATTTTTGTCCCGATTGATGTCTCTTTTTGTATGCTTCTGATAAATCTCCTCAAGAGCATAATGCCAATTCATAGATAGATGCTGTCCTCTTCCCGAATCACTTTTAAACTGTGCTTTTCAATGAAGTAACTCAGGGATTGGAGTTTTAGAAATCGTCTATAGATGTATTAGAAGATGCGTCGGTAGTTCGGTGACAGAACGCACGCCAACCAATCACGCCTCACATGATCAGGACGTTCGATCCCCTGTCGACAGACGTACTCCTCGCCAAGCCGTTAGTAAAGATGGAAGGTTGGACGTGAGTGAGGCTAGCAACGCTCTGACCGCCTAAAATGAACAAATCAAAACCACTCTTACTAAAACTTCAATGCTTGGGGCATGAAGCCGTATGCTCTATTCGGAACGTAAAAGAATAAAATAATCAATCAATAATTATAAATTGATGTACAAATTCCAAGAATTAAAAAAAAAAAATAACTTATTGAAAATCAAAAATTTCAAATGATTTCAGTAGAATTCAATAAACAATCGCATAAACTAATCAAAATAATATGGAAAAATAAGCCCGAGGAAATTGAAAGATATATTTTGCATGAATGTCACACTGTCTCAACTTTTACTGTCACATCATGAAAAGCTTACTCGATGCTGCATATATTTCATAAATTGGTCGGTTTGAGCTTGTGAGTATTTTCCAGTGATGTAGGCAAACAAGCAAATACTGCTGTTGTGTCAGCTGTAATTTCTGTCTCTTCAGAATCCTCACAATAATCTCTTTTGTTGTTTAGAAATCTTTTGAATAATTTATATGGATTAGATGTTTCTTGATTTGATAGTATTTTTGCCTCTTTTAAGCATTGTTCATGTTGTTGTTGTTTTTGTTGATGGTTAGAATAATACGAAGAACAGTGGTCGCCAAGTAAGTTTTGTTCGTCGAAAAGTTGTCGAGGAGACGATAATTCCCCATGCGAAGGAATACGCTGAAATGGTTTCTTATTATCATCATGATGATGAATACGTTTCCTACCCACCGATGATGGCGGCGGAAATTCATCTCTGTCTGGTGAGAATTTCACTTTTTCCTCTATTAGTCTGGAAGTAAGAAGAGAAGAGTCAGATGCAGACGGCGATATGCATGAATTCGACTGTGCAACTTTCTTGTGTTTTAGCTTAACGGTTTGCACCGCCACTTCGCGAAAACGAGGAAGTTTATTCATCAGCACCACTGGTACTGACGACATATTATTCATGCTTTGTGAATTATATTCCAACAATCGCCTCACCACTCGACTTTTAATCTTATTGCATTTTCGATTTCTCAAAAATATGGAGAACATTTCTGGCTTTGCAAGAAAATTCATTCAATCGACATGCCTATTATTGCTGTCAGGAAAATGGAGTTTTCTTCAAAGAAGATCTAATTTTTTCCGTAAATATAGATGGATATCTATGAACATCACTAAGGATGAATTATAATTAGTTATTCATAATTCATTTCGACGCAAGTGCAGAATACACTATCCTTTATTTGTGGTATAAATGCTTACAAGTTTAAAATGTACTTCAAGGTCAGTCGATTGGTCGATAATCTATCATCGACCTTAAGTTCTTCACTCATATAAAACATTTTGTAATTCCCGATGAATGAAAAAGACAAAGCGTTATTGTTGTTGTTTTTACTGATGTTTCGCTACTTCAAATGTTGCTAATAGCTTCATCAAAGTAGTAATATTAAACCGGAGTATATATATATATATAACAACTTAATCATCCTACATAAGAATGAATTGATAACTCTGTTTACGTTGTTGTCAAGTTGGCCATTTGATAAAGATAACAAAAACCGTGCGTGTGTGTATGTGTGGATTGTCGGATTTTCGATTAGCGTATAAAATTGGGGGAGGGGGGACTGAGGAACCTCACACAATAGTCACTGATCTTTTCATGAACAGATCTGAAGATAAAATCATTTCAAACAAATTCACACCTAAAATATGAATGGGGTACACGTTGATGATACTATGGTTGTGCTGAAACCAGATCTACACAATTCATTCTTAGAAAAACTGAACAATCTATCTCCCAGCATCCAGTTCACACTTCGGAGACACAATCATATCTCAGTGAGGTACCTTTTCTACACCTATCCAGTTAAGTGGAGAGAAAATAGATATCTCAATAATGTACCTATATTCAGGAAGAAAACACATTCCAACAAATATTTAGACTCCGGATCATTAAACTCCATCAGCGCGAAGGTATCAGTTGTTTCAACTCTCCTTAGATGAACACCCCTCTTCAATCTTAATGGATGAGTAGGACAAAGAAGAAGAAGAAATTTTGAACACTACTGAAATTCCCAAAGAACTTCATTCCAAAGACATGTATATACCTCAACAGTTGTCATTTCGCATAGATCAGAAATGCCAGACGGTAGATATCATCAGAAGTATACTCAATAGGCAAAATATCAAAGTTTTCCGCAAAACATCAGACACGTACATAAATTAATATGGAATTACATACTACCACTTCGCCCAAGTTTTACACATATATTAATGAGAATTCAGTTATATTCCGGTCAGCTGTGTGTATAACGACTGAAATTTTTATAGTCCTGATTGACTCTTACTTTGTCTTTAAAGACACTTAAAAGAAGCTTCGTTCACATAAGTTAATTTTAATAAACTTCTATGGATTTGCTTAGTATTAAAATTTAATTATTATACCGACAATAAACTACATTGATGACTGGTTGTGTACATGTCACATTTTTGTTCTGAGCAATATCTCACTATAAGCTCTAACATAACCACAGATTTTTAGCTTTACCATGCAGGTTCTATCATGCCAAAAAGGTCGTTTGGAAAGTGGTTTGACTAAAAGCAGTTATATTCATAGTGTAAGTTCTCCACACTGCGTTTTGGGTCTGTGGGTGAAGTCGTACTGTTGTAGAATTGAGACGTTTCTCTCAGATGCCCAACATGCCAACTATACTGCCTCTTCTCTCTTGGGAGGGAGTTAGAAATGTCCAACCGCCGAGACTGTCTATCCTGACTTTCCTTGAGGAGGTCAGTAACTGGCGGTAAGATCTTTATATAGACACAACTGTAAAAACCACTTCAAAAAAGCCATGTGTGACTAGCTCAACTGATTGTCCTCTGGGCTATGCTGTAACGCAACACTAATGCTCCTTTCATTTCAGGTACTCCATTAAGAAACCGACTTCCATGTTGTTGGTAGCCTGGAATTAACAGTACTTTTGGTATTAGATGACTGAAGGCAGTTTCAGAAAGCCTTGGACCCAGGTTTCGTGCTAGTTGGCACTCGTCATCAGGGCGTATCTGCAACCTTGAGGGAACTCACGTACCTTCTGGGATTCGAACCCGCGTCACCCAGTGCTGCGGTCAGAGACGTTACTACAGCCATTTAGGCCCACGATTTACCTCCTGTAGGACTGGATGTATTGGGCATATTTTTGATTAGACACTAGTCAGTAAATTGTGTAATGTGTCCAGTCTTGCAGATACGCCTTGCTGATGAGATGCAATTAGCACGAAACCTAGGTCGAGCAAGGCTTCCCGTCCCGCCGATTGCCTCCAACCATATAATGCATCAACGATTCACAGTGCAGTGAGTCCTGACGGCCTGCCAACTTGTGGCACGCTGGCCACATTGCAAACTTGACTGATAGAATTCACTCAGAACCAAAGATGGGACTAGGCACACTGCACTACTTACACGCTAGTTTCCAATCAAAAAATAAGTAATAATACCTCATATACTTGTATAAGGTAGTCCTTTGGAAGGAACTACTTGAGGTGACACTCTATATTATCCAATACTTGTATGTATGTATGTATCTTTTAAAATAATATAACAAATTCATTTTGAGTGATCGATGCTGCTACTATATGAAACAACAAAGAAAACAGAATACGCCCTTGTTCTTTCGGGAGAATAACGTGGCGTAGTTTATACAGAACTGTGCAGAAGCTGACGATAAACCCATTCCAACATTGGGACTGAGTAAACTGTTGCTTTTATGTACTCAAAATGTTTAATTCAATTGACATCTACTCTGTCAAGCTGATAGTGGTGCAATAAGAAAAATCCTGAGGACCACCACTTTCGACAGATTCATTCTTATTAGGACTAGAAACAAAATATACGAAAACTGAAATCATACCTAAGAGATAATGTTGGCGATATTTTTACTGTCTGTGAAAGCAGATCAGAAGCAGAAGACCTTTTGATGAAATTCAACGAGTGCCATCCGAATCTTAACTTTACAATAGAACACGAGGAATAGGATATTATGAAATTCCTAGACGTCTCTCTAATGAAAAGGATTGATGGCACAATCAAAAGGTCTATATTTTGAGAGTCTTCATTCATGGGACAGCACATACATTTTAACAGTTTTGCGCCAATCCTGTACACAAAGAACTTAAAACACTGTTCAATATAGCACGAAATTTCCGTTCTGACAGTACAATTGAAGATGAAATTAAGACTCTGAAAGACAATTTATCTAAGAGTCGATATCCTGAGATGTCGATCAATAAATACTCTGAAGAAATGAGCCACAGTAAAACTATCCAAACACTTTCAAAGAAAGTTAGCTGTCTGCATCAGTTTGCCATTCAAAGGAGATGACGTACAAGAAGTAGTCAAACAAAGACTCAACAAAACTACCAAGAGAACTTATCACGTTGCAAAACTCGTCTTCGTTAACAACACCAAACGGGTGCTTCAACAATCTGGGAATGACCAGTCACCAATCCTCATCAATCCAAACTAAGCATATCAATATGATGATCGTGTATGTGGAAGCAAGCACATCGGTGGAAAAGAAAGGCGACTTTCTACTCGCATGTTGGAGCATTTGCCAAAGCGGTTGAAAACGGCCGAAGTCGAAGTGACTAGAAGTCCAATAACGAAGTACCTTGTGGATTTCGGACATGGTACTGACTCTGTCAAGTCACTCAACATTGTCAGCTGACGAAGAAATAAACAGGAAGATGATTGCGATTGTGGAGGCTTGTGCTATTCGAATTTATAAACCAGGTCTTTGTGTACGGAAGGAAATGGTGGTCACTCTGAATCTACCATGGTGATATTTTTTGCTATTTAAGTGTTATTACTATTAATATTATATTCAGTTTCTTATTATTACTGTTTTCGATTCATTTAAAACTATCTTTAATTATTACCATTATTTTAAGTTGTTTTAACATTATCATTATCATTATTGTTACTACTACTACCATTACTATTAATGTCAATGTTATTCAGTTAATAATTCCTAATATATTCAAGTTCTTACACTCACTGATAACTGAATACTTGTTTACTTAAGTGATCTAGTTGAACAGTATTCATGCGTTTTTATTTTAATTTTAATCTCTTATACTCCCTTCCCCTTATCCATGTGAATATGACCTGAGAAACATTCACACCTGATGTTTAACATTATTTATTCTATGTATTTTATTTTCTTATCAGTCTTGTAACTATCTATCACTGTATTTCTGATAGTATATAAATATATTACTGTGTGCAGAGCACCCGTTCGACCGAAGAAGAAATCCACTGAAGTTTGATGGATTCACAAAATTCTGCTTTATTAAGAACACTTTTTGTTGTTTGTGTTTTTAAATTCGTGTGGGGAAATAAACGTCTCCAATTAGATGTACGCTGTGGAGACCGTTGAATCGTATCTCGCGCCAAGCACTCAACTGTAAAACGTGAAGTGAATGGATGCGTTGAGCATTAGAGGGTAACGTGGAGGAGATCATGTGAGCAGGAGATGAATGCCTATGCGTAATCATCAAATCAGTTAAGTAGACTTCATAGAAAAGAGTGAAATGATAGTGTTCTGCAAATACCTGAGAAAATTCCTTCTTGTAAAATCTTAATCACTAAAATAATTATAATTGCACAATGCCATCGTATGCTTTCAGAAACAGATGTCTAAAAATTTAGAGGTTCTGACAGTTGATACCTTCGGTTAAAGGGACTAAGCAGTATAAGCTCTTCAATTAACAAACACCTGAGAGACACAGGACACCGAGTAGATGCTCTGCCATTATTCAAAATAATGAATTAAAATAAAAACGCGGAAGAAGAGAAGAAGGAAGATTTTTAGAGGCAACTACAAACAGTAATGGACAACATCCCAAATGGTGTCATCAAAATCTTCATGGACGATGTGAACGCCACACTGGGAGCAGACAACGCCACAGGA